GTGTGTGTGTGCTATTGAGTGAGCTTGTGTGTGAACCTGCTATTGAGTGAGCTTGTGTGTGTGTCTGCTAGTGAGTGAGCTTGTGTGTGTGTCTGCTAGTGAGTGAGCTTGTGTGTGTGTGTGTGTGTGTTCCTTCTAGTGAGTGAGCTTGTGTGTGTGTGTCTGCCTGCTAGTGAATGAGCATGTGTGTGTGTGCCTGCTAGTGAGTGAGCTTGTGTGTGCGCATGTGTGCCTGCTAGTGAGTGGGCTTGTGTGTGTGTGTGTGCCTATTAATGAGTGAGCTTGTCTGTGTGTGTGTGCCTGCTAGGAATGGCGTGTGTGTGCCTGCTAGTGAGTGAGCTTGTGTGTGTGTGCCTGCCTGCTAGTGAGTGAGCTTGTGTGTGTGTGCGTGTGTGCCTGCTGGTGAGTGGGCTTGTGTGTGTGTGTGCCTATTAATGAGTGAGCTTGTCAGTGTGTGCCTGCTAGTGAGTGAGTGTGTGTGTGTGCTTGCTAGTGAGTGAGCTTGTGTGTGTGTGTGTGTGCCTGCCTGCTAGTAAGTGAGTGTGTGTGTGTGTCTGCTAGTGAGTGAGCTTGTGTGTGTGTCTGCTAGTGAGTAAGCTTGTGTGTGTGTGTGTGTGTGTGTGTGTGTGTGTGTGTGTGTGTGTGTGCTAGTGAGTGAGCTTGTGTGTGAACCTGCTATTAAACATAGAATGTGACGGCAGATAAGAACCATTCGGCCCATCTAGTCTGCCCAATTTTCTAAATACTTTCATTAGTCCCTAGCCTTATCTTATAGTTAGGATAGCCTTATGCCTATCCCATGCATGCTTAAACTCCTTCACTGTGTTAACCTCTACCACTTCAGCTGGAAGGCTATTCCATGCATCCACTACCCTCTCAGTAAAGTAATAATTCCTGATATTATTTTTAAACTTTTGTCCCTCTAATTTAAGACTATGTCCTCTTGTTGTGGTAGTTTTTCTTCTTTTAAATATAGTCTCCTCCTTTACTGTTTTGATTCCCTTTATATATTTAAATGTTTCTATCATATCAAACTTAAAGATTGCAGTTTATTGATAAGCCTTCTATGTGCAACAGTGTCAAAAGCCTTACTGAAATCTAGGGAAGCAATGTCTACTGCACCACCCTGATCTATAATTTTAGTTACCCAATCAAAAAAATCAATAAGATTAGTTTGGCATGATCTACCTGAAGTAAACCCATGTTGTCTCTGATCTTGAAATCCATGTGTTTTTAGATGTTCAACAATCCTATCCTTTAACATGGTTTCCATCCCTTTCCCCACTACTGAAGTAAGGCTTACTGGCCTATAGTTGCCCGACTCCTCCCTATTCCCTTTCTTGTAAATGGGCACAACATTCGCTAACTTCCAATCTTCTGGGACTACTCCTGTTAACAATGATTGGTTAAATCAATCTGTTAATGGTTTTGCTAGTACACCACTAAGCTCTTTTAATAGCTTTGGGTGTATTCCATCAGGTCCCATTGACTTATTTGTCTTTACTTTTGACAGCTGAAATAGAACCTCTTCCTCTGTAAACTCACGTGTAATAAATGACTCATTTATCCTTTTTCTCAACTGAGGTCCCTTTCCTTCATTTTCTTCTGTAAATACAGAACAAAAATATTCATTGAGGCAGTCAGCCTGACCTTTATCCTCTTCTACATACCTTCCTTCTTTTGTTTTTAATCTAACTAATCCTTGTTTTACTTTTCTTTTCTCATTTATGTATCTAAAAAATGTTTTATCCCCTTTTTTTACTGACTGTGCTATTTTCTCTTCTGTGTGTGATTTGGAAGCTCTTATAACTTGCTTAGCCTCTTTCTGCCTAATCTTATAGATCATTTTGTCTCCCTCACTCTGGGTTTTTTTATAATTCCTAAATGCTAACTTTTTGTTTTTAACTATTTTGGCCACATCTGCGGAGTACCACAGTGGTTTCTTGAATTTTTTGCTTTTACTGACAAGCCTAATGCAATTTTCTGTTGCCTTCAATAGTGCAACTTTTAAATAATCCCATTTTCTTGGACTCCATTTAAATTGCTCCAGTCTGATAATGACTCCTCTACCCATATTCTAATTTTAGAAAAGTCTGTTTTTCTAAAGTCTAAAACTTTTGTTTTTGTGTGGTGTGACTCAGTCACTGTTCTTATATTAAACCACACTGACTGATGATCACTGGATCCTAAACTTTCACCTACAGTAACATCTGATACATCTATTGAGTGAGCTTGTGTGTGTCTGCTAGTGAGTGAGCGTGTGTGTGTGTTCCTGCTAGTGAGTGAGCTTGTGTGTGTGTATGTGCCTGCTAGTGAGTGAGCTTGTGTGTGTGTGTGTGTGTGTGCCTGTCTGCTAGTGAGTGAGCGTGTGTGTGTGCCTGCCTGCTAGTGAGTGGGCATGTGTGTGTGTCTGCTAGTGAGTGAGCTTGTGCGTGTGTGCCTGCTGGTGAGTGGGCTTGTGTGTGTGTGTCTGCCTATTAATGAGTGAGCCTTTCTGTGTGTGTGTGTGTGTGTGTGTGTGTGCCTGCTAGTGAGTGAGCGTGTGTGTGTGCCTACTAGTGAGTGAGCTTGTGTGTGTGTGCCTGCCTGCTAGTAAGTGAATGTGTGTGTGTGTGTGTGTGCCTGCTAGTGATTGAGCTTGTGTGTGTGTGTGTGTGTGTGTGCGTGTGTGCCTGCAAGTGAGTGGGCTTGTGTGTGTGCCTGCTAGTGAGTGAGCTTGTGTGTGTGTGCCTGCTAGAGAGTGAGCTTGTGTGTGTGTGTGCACACCTGCTAGTGAGTAAGCTTGTGTGTGTGTGGCTGTCTGCTAGTGAGTGAGCTTGCGTGTGTGTGTGTGCTAGTGAGTGAGCTTGTGTGTGAGCCTACTATTGAGTGAGCTTGTGTGTGTGTCTGCTAGTGAGTGAGCTTGTGTGTGTGTGCCTGCTAGTGAGTGGGCTTGTGTGTGTGTGTGCCTATTAATGAGTGAGCTTGTCTGTGTGTGTATGCCTGCTAGTGAATGAGCGTGTGTGTGTGCCTGCTAGTGAGTGGGCTTGTGTGTGTGCTAGTGAGTGAGCTTGTGTGTGAACCTGCTAGTGAGTGAGCTTGTGTGTGTGCGCATGTGTGCCTGCTAGTGAGTGGGCTTGTGTGTGTGCCTGCTAGTGAGTGAGCGTGTGTGTGTATGCCTGCTATTGAGTGAGCCTGTGTGTGTGTGTGCCTGCCTGCTAGTGAGTGAGCGTGTGTGTGTGCCTGCTAGTGAGTGATCTTGTGTGTGTGTGTGTGTGCGTGTGTGCCTGCTAGTGAGTGGGCTTGTGTTGTATAAACCAAATATCATTCAAGGATGCACTCACAGGTCTTCAAGTGAAACAAATGTGATTTAATGTAATATAAATAAATCCAGCAAACAAATCGACGTTTCGACTCGGACTGGTCTTTTTGCCTATTAATGAGTGAGCTTGTGCCTATTAATGAGTGAGCTTGTCTGTGTGTTTGTGCCTGCTAGTGAGTGAGCTTGTGTGTGTGCGTGTGCCTGCTAGTGAGTGAGTGTGTGTGTGTGTGCCTGCTAGTGAGTGAGCTTGAGTGTGTGTGAGTGTGTGCCTGCAAGTGAGTGGGCTTGTGTGTGTGTGTGTGCCTGCTAATGAGTGAGCTTGTGTGTGTGTGCCTGCTAGTGAGTGAGCTTGTGTGTGTGTGCGTGCCTGCTGGTGAGTGAGCTTATGTGTGTGTGCCTACTAGAGAGTGAGCTTGTGTGTGTGTGTGTGTGCACCTGCTAGTGAGTGAGCTTGTGTGTGTGTGTGTGGCTGCTAGTGAGTGAGCTTGTGTGTGTACGCCTGCTAGTGAGTGATCTTGTGTGTGTGTGCCTGCTAGAGAGTGAGCTTCAGTGTGTGTGCCTGCTAGAGAGTGAGCTTCTGTGTGTGTGTGTGTGTGTGTGTGTGCTAGGGAGTGTTTGTGTGTGTGTGGGTGGGTGGCCGCTAGTGTGTGAGCTTGTGTGTGTGTGTGTGTGTGTGTGTGTGTCTGCTACTGAGTGAGCTTGTTTGTGTGTATTCTAGTGGGTGAGCTTGTGTGTGAACCTGCTATTGAGTGAGCTTGTGTGTGTGTCTGCTAGTGCTAGTGTCTCCTAATTTTTTTCCCAGTCCGGCCCTGTTTCAAAAACAAGCTTTCAAGAGTTTTCCTCTCTTCCTCAGGTCTGAAACAATACTCTTGAAAGCTTGTCTTTGAAATATTATGTTAGTCCAATAAAAAAGGTATCATTGCATACTCATTGCATACTGCAATACTCTGGTATTTTGGCATTATATATACCGTATTTTTCGCTCCATAAGACGCACTTTTTTCCCCCTCAAAAGTGAGGGGAAATGTCTCTGCGTCTTATGGAGCGAATGTGAAGATTTACTTACCTGTCTTGGAGCGTGGGCCGGCTTCACAGCGCGCTCCGCGGTCCAGGAACTTCTATTTCAGGTTCCGGTTTCCGGCGGACTGAAAGGAAGTGCACACTCAGTGTGCACACTTCCTTTCAGTCCCGCCGGAAACCGGAACCTGAAATAGAAGTTCCTGGACCGCGGAGCGCGCTGTGAAGCCGGCCCACGCTCCAAGACAAGTAAGTAATTATGGGACAAGGGGAGGGGGAGACACTATGGGACAAGGGGAGGGGAGGAGACACTATGGGACAAGGGGGAGGACACTATGGGAGGGAGGGAGACACTATGGGACAGGGAGGGAGGGAGCACTATGGGACAAGGGGAGGGGGACATATGGGACAGGGGAGAGGAGAACACTATGGGACAAGGGGAGGGGACCCCACAACTGCTCCCCAAACAGCACACGCTGCTTCCCAAGCAACCACAGCACTCCCCAAGCAACCACAACTGAACACAGAAGCAGGCAAGATTTAGAAGCAGCCACCTTTGAACCCCAAACATCCACCAATGCACCCCAAACAACCACAACTGAACCCCAAACAACAATAACTGAGACACACAAACAGCCACAACTGTACCCCAGAAACAGCCTCACCCCTTGCACCCCAGAAGCAACCACCAATGCTCCCCAAACAACCACAACTGCTCCCCAAACAACCACCGCTGCTCCCCAAACAACCACAACTGAAGCCCAAACAACCACAACTGCACCCCAAACAACCACAACTGCTCCCCAAACAACCACCGCTGATCCCCAAACAACCACAACTGAACCCCAAACAACCACAACTGAAGCCCAAACAACCTCAACTGCACCCCAAACAACCACCAATGCTCCCCAAACAACCACAGCTGCACCCCAAACAACCACCACTGTACCTCAAATAACCACCACTGTACCCCAAACAACCACAACTGCTCCCCAAACAACCACCACTGTACCACAAACAACCTCAATTGTACAACAAACAACCACCACTGCACCCCAAACAACCACAACTGCTCCCCAAACAACAGTTTTTGAAACTTCTCCCACAACGTTTTCCTCAACTACCACAACTGTTACTTCACCTGGAATAGCTATATCTCACACTACTGGAGCAGATATTTCTACTACAACTATTTTCACAGGTAAAGTGGTTCAATGAGTTTTTGTTTTACCTGTAACATACCAAGAGGCAAAAGGCCCACAAAATACATTGTTCTTGTGATGCCTTATTTTACCTTGACCCACCCATGTGCCTGAGAAGTTATTTGAGGATACTACGCGGTGTGGATAGTTGCTATGGTCACCGTGAGTATACGTCTCCGTACTATGAGGGGCCAGGAGGCATGTTGAGAGTGAAGGAAGTTGGAGCAGAGTCAGACACTGTGTGATATAATACACTCTGCGGTTACCATTTTATGGGAGTCATGAACCGCGTGGGAGCATTAATGGAGATGTTGCCAGACTCAACGCAATTCCATTCTTCTACTTTTAATAAATGCCGTACACCTCATCTATGTACGTAGTGGACACTGGATAACAATAGCAATCCAAACACAACCTACTCGCAACCTCACCCAATAATGAGACATCGACTTGCATAAAACAGGCCATAGCAGTTATTAAACATGTAAATACTGTATACCACATCCTTCTTTATTATAAATGTATAACTCTTTATAACCGATAACAGCAAGAAATAACACGTTAAATGTTCTTGCCAATCTCAAACTGACCAATTACATATGTTCAATTCATAAGCCCCACCAGGTTCTAACCTCCTCCGTGGTCCAACCATTTCCTTTTAACCTTTAATGCCAACCACCAGCTGGCTTTAGGCTCAGTGGGCACGTCCTTTTAATGCCAACCACTACCTGACTTTTGACTCAGTGGGCACATCCTTTTAATGCCAACCAACAGCTGGCTTTTGGCTCAGTTGGCACGTCCTTTTAATGCCAACCACTAGTCAGCTTATGGTTCAGTGGGCACGTCCTTTTAATGCCAACCACTAGCCGGCTTTTGGTTCAGTGGGCACGTCTTTTTAATGCCAACCACTAGCCAGCTTTTGGTTCAGTGGGCACGTCTTTTTAATGCTAACCACTAGCCAGCTTTTGGTTCAGTGGGCACGTCTTTTTAATGCTAACCACTAGCCGGCTTTTGGCTCAGTGGG